CCCCAAAACCCCAAAACCCCAAAACCCCAAAACCCCAAAACCCCAAAACCCCATGGTTATGAAATGGCCTTGAAATATTAATTAAATTATATTATAAAATGAATGTGAGAGGATTTACTGACGGTAAGGTTGTTCTTTATTATTTCATTAGTTTAGCTACTTTATTATGTTTCTAAAATCTCTTTTCTTCATCCTAAATCAGAGTTTTCCTTTGCCAAGCTAACTTATCTAATATAGCACTTGTAAATTGGGACGTAGGTGATGAATACGAATGCATTTCCTTACTGGGCACAGGCTCTTATGGAAGTGTCTGTAAAGGAAGACATAAAAGATCTGGAAAAGAAGTAGCAATAAAACAAATAAAAGGAATCTTTGATAACCAGACTGATTGTAAAAGGATCCTGAGAGAGATCAAAATTCTAAGGAAACTTAATCACCCATATATTATTCGATTATATGACATTGTTGAACCCAGAGATCTAGACAACTTTTCAGATTTATATCTTATCCTTCAGCTTGCCGATTCAGATTTGAAATAAAGTCCTTAGATCAGGGTTGTTCTTAACACCAAAGCATGTTAAAGAAATTCTATATAATCTGATGTGAGCTTTGTATTACTTGCATTCAGCTAAAGTCCTCCACAGAGATTTAAAACCAGCTAATGTTCTAGTTGATGAGAATTGCAGTGTCTTGCTCTGTGATTTTGGATTAGCCAGATCCATTGCAGTTAAAGAAGTACAGGAAGAATCCAAAGAGGAGGAAAAGAACCAGATGAACTCTGAAGGAGAGAAGCAAGAAGATTTATGAGATGTCACTCCAAATACAACAGAGACCGTGGCTGCCTCAAATGACACGGTGAAATTCGAAAGTAAAATTAGTGAATCAAATTAATATTTGTGTTCCTTTTAGCTCAAAACATATGTTAATTGTGCAGTTTGTTAAATTTTATACTGCATAGATTAAACACGTGACTTAATTTTGCGTATAGGACCTGAATCAAATGGGAACGGAAATAAAACCAATGAAGAAGAAACACAATTGGTATATTCTTATTGATAAAATTATAGGAGATCACATTAGATGACCAAAGTGGGGAAAAGAAAAACTTTGAGCCATCTTGACATACACCTAAACTAAGTTTCAAAAAGCCTTCTTCACAAAAGAGGAAGGCCAAACCCCTCCAACCTAAGAGGAAGATTCAGACTGGGATCTTCAGTATTGGCGCTGGTGGAGGATTTACTTCTTCCCTTGCTAAACCCAGTAGTGATCCAACCTCAGGAGGATCAATTCCAGTGCCAAGCAGTAAGATGAAAAAGAGAGATCTTAAAACAGTAGAAAAGGCTGATGCTGACAAAGAAGATAAGAAGTCCCCCGAGCTAGCTAAGAAAGAAGTAAAGAAGGATACCAAGAAAGACATTCAAAGCAACCTCTCTGTCCATGTTGTAACAAGATGGTACCGATCTCCTGAAATTATCCTCTTAGAAAGAGACTATGGACCTCCAATTGATATATGGTCTGTTGGATGAATCTTTGCAGAGCTACTGACAATGTTAAGAGAAAACGCTAAGAGCACTTTCGATAGAAAACCATTATTCCCAGGATCTTCATGATATCCACTTAGCCCTTCTGCAAAGAATAAAGAGCAAGGAGGGTTAAAAGAAGACCAGCTATGAGTAATCATTGAGAAGCTTGGAACACCATCAAAAGAGGATACAGAATTTATTACTGACCCAGCAGCGAGGCAATATTTGGAAGACTTGCCTTTAAGCAAGAAGAAGAATTTCAAAGAGATGTATCCATTCCCTGGAGATGAAGCAATAGATCTCTTAAATAAAATGCTACAGTTCAACCCATACAAAAGAGCTAGCTTGGAAGAATGTTTAAACCACCCTCACCTTGATGAGGTAAGAAGAGAGTCCAAAATACTAGCTGCTCCGAAGCCAATAGTACTAGATTTCGATTTCGAAGATGTCAACACCTCAATCCTCCGTGGACTGTTCGCTGAAGAGATCCTATACTACAGAAGTGCTTTCAAGAGAAGGCCGAGAAGACCAGATGACCACGTCTCGAAGGTAGAGACAGAGCTCTACTCTAAACTTCAGTCTTATGCTTAAGAATGATCTAGAATCCTTCTTTGTTTCTAATGTTTAAATCTATTTGCAATAAGGCGGCTCGCGTCAGGGGTTTTGGGGTTTTGGGGTTTTGGGGTTTTGGGG